AGCTCTAATTGAGGCAGCGCTAGAATACCATAGACAGTCTCTGGAGATCCTGAAGGACCTCGACAGCAAACTACAGAACAGGTGCCTTTAACCACACACACACACACACACACACACACACACACACACACACACACACACACACACACACACACACACACACACACACACACCCTCTCATTCAGTAGAAAACATCCAGTACCCAGTCTATATTCATAAAAGCATTACTGATACGACATATTTATATCTACTCTTTATCTATGTTCTGTGCTGAAAAGGTAATTGGAACATTTGAATCTTACAGTTCCAATTTTAATATTATTATTATTACTATTATTATTATTATTATTTGTTTCATCTCCTTGCTTTGGATGCCAGGCAAACACTTTTATTTTATTCTATGTGTATTTTGTGAACGAAATAAAGATTTACTTTAATATACAATTGAGTTAGTAATATATTTTGGCATCTGATGTTGCAGGATATCTACAGCAAGCCGTCGGCCCAAAAAAGAGTTCAAGCCAAAGTCAATAGTGTCCAGTTTGGAGAGCGTGGAGAACACACAGCACAATGGACTTTCACACACCTCATCAATCAAATCCACAGGTATCCACAACAAAACATCTTGACATTTAAGAAGACAGATTTCATAAGCTTTAGTCTAAGCAGAAACATACAGACACACATGAGAGCAGAATGTTCTTTTTTTATTGTCATAACTTGTATCTGTTAAAATACTTTTAAATCCTTATATTAGCAGTTTTTTTAATGTGGTGGAAGAATTTTGGATACTGTATTTTTTGATAAATCTTTCATTTATTCATGTGAATGTTTTTTATGAAAAATTATGTAAATTATGCAAAAATTAAATGTACTTTTTTGTGTTTCTTACAAATCTACACTACTTGACAAAGTCTTGTTGTCAATCCCAGTTGTTAGAGCAACAAATAATAGCTTGACTTCTAGTTGATCAATTGGAAAAGTGGCAGAAGGTCGATTTCTCTGATAAATCATCTGTTAAGCTGCATCCCAATCATCACAAATACTGCACAAGACCTATTGGAACCAGCATCGACCCAAGATTCTTAAGAAATCAGTCAGTTTTGGTGAAAAAAAAAGTCATGGTTTGGGGTTACATTCATATGGGGGTGTGCAAGAGATCTGCAGAGTGGACGGCAACATCAACAGCCTGAGGTATCAACACATTTGTGCTGCCCATTACATTACAAACCACAGGAGAGGGCAAATTCTTCAGCAGGATAGCGCTCCTTCTCATACTTCAGCCTCCACATCAAAGCTCCTGAAAGCAAAGAAGGTCAAGGTGCTCCAGGATTGGCCAGCCTAGTCACCAGATATGAACATTATTGAGCATGTCTGGGGTATGATGAAGGAGGAGGCACTGAAGATGAATCCAAAGAATCTTGATGAACTCTGGAAGTCCTGCAAGAACCCTCTTTTTGCCATTCCAGATGACTTTATTAATAAGTGATTTGAGTCATTGCAGAGATGTATGGATGCAGTCCTCCAAGCTCATGGGAGTCAGACACAATATTAACTCTTTGTCCACTGCAGCATGACTTTATATTCTATACTGCACATTATTTCTGTTAAGTGACAAGACTTTTGTCTAAGCAGAGTCAGACCTTACTGTCCTAATTAAATCATTCAAAATCAAGGCATGATCATATTTTATTTTGGTAAAAGCGTAATCTTGAGGCCTTTGCCTTCATATAAGCCACTTCAGATACCAAATGACCAGCTAGAAGTGAAGTTATTATTTGTTGTTCCTAAAGCTTGGATTGGCGACAAGATTTTTGTCAGGTAGTGTATACTTGGAGTAAAATGAGTTTAACATCAAACTTTTATGGTGCATTTTTTGGAGTTTGACACTAATTTATTATTCCAAACTAAAACTGAAATAAATAAATAAATAAATAAATAAATAAATAATTTTTATTAAATACAAACATGTATATGTTATGTGTGTTTGTGTTTTTTTATATTTGATTATTATTTCAACATCTTTGTAATTAAATAAATATACATTAGAAGAAATAAAATCAATGATAAAGTTTTTTTAGTAAAAAAAAATTTTCAGGAATTTTTAGATTGTAGTTGCTGTTTTGAAGTTCGTAACAAGTTTATTATTATCACTTAAAACAAAAATATTTAATAAATATTAATTCTTTAATTTAAAAAATATATAATTACCACATACATATTAGTACTTCATCATTATCATAAATCAACATTAGAAGAAATAAAATAAATGATAATTTTTTTCAGACTTCCTGTTAATTTATTTATTTTTTTGTCTGTATTTACCTGTTTGCTTCATTTTTGTGATTTTTGTCTCTAATTTTGAAATTGAAGGTTCATAAATGGGTCCATTGTTCATTTTCCCTGTTTTCTCATATTTCACCACCATCATGTTTTCTTACGTAATTCCTTCATGTTGCTTTCAGATATCCAAGTCAACCACACTGTAAATGGAAAAAGTAGGTGGAAACTTATGTGACAATTATAAATAATTCAAATTAGTTTACTTTCCTGATCATAAGAGGAGTTTGACTATTTATATTTCAGTTACATTATATATATTTTGTAAACCTAAAAAAATGATGTTTGTTTTTTAAGCAAGTAAAGCAACTAACACGAGACAACCTTACAGTTCACATCTGTAACTCATGAGTTAAATGGTGTTATTATTTTGTGTGTGTGTGTGTGTGTGTGTGTGTGTGTGTGTGTGTGTGTGTGTGTGTGTGTGTGTGTGTGTGTGTGTGTGCTCGTATCCATGCTCATCATCATTTTGTATGTTTGCGTCTCTCATGCTTTGTTCTCATGTGTTTTTTACTCTCAGTTGATCAGTTCACACACACCTCATCCATGACACAGTCGTGGCCTGAAAGTCCCAATGGTAATAGCAAACGTAAGTATCAACCTATAGGTTCAATTCTGAATGTGAAAGTAGTTATATACAGTTAAATCAGAATTATTAGCCCTCTTGTGAATTATTATTATTTTTTAATATTTCCCAAATGATGCTCAATGGAGCAAGGAAATTCACAGTATTTCCTATAATACTTTTTTCTTCTGGAAAAAGTCTTACTTGTTTTATTTCGGCTAGAATAAAAGCAGTTTTATTTTTTTTAAACCATTTTAAGATTAAAATTATTAGACTCCTTAAGAAATGTACATGTTTTGATTGTCTACTGAGCATAGCACTGTTATAAAATCATTTGCTTAATTAACCTAAATATCCTAGTTAAGCCATTAAATTTCACATTAAACTGAACACTAGTCAAATATCTAGTCAAATATTATTTACTGTCATCAAGGCAAAGATAAAAAAAATCAGTTATTAGAAATGAGTTATTAAAACTATTACGTTTAGAAATGCGTCGAAACAATCTTCTATCCGTTAAAGGGTCACGAAACACCAAAACACATTTTTTGAGCTGTTGACAGTGGTATACGTGTCCCACACTGCTAAAAACACTATTAGGACACCTATATTTCACTAAAAAGTGTAAATTGGTTGTTTTTGCGTTATTTCAAGCAAATTCGTACTTCCTGTTTGAAACGAATTTTTGAAGCTGCGTCACGGTCATGACATAATAGCGTTGTATTCCAGCGTTCAGACTGGGCGTCTGTGCCAGAGTGAGTCTTATTACGTCTTACAGTGTGTTGCATTAATGCATGAGTAAGGCTTGGTTCAAACCAATCAGCGCGCTCTATTGTGCAACTTCATTAATATTCATTAGTGTCACCGTGTTTACGCCACAGAGACGCCACGTTGTGTTGGCAAAACAAGCGTGAAGTGTTGCTTTTATAGTTTGCTGCCATTAAGTTTCGTTTTCATTTTCTCTCTGTGAGAGCTCAGCTGGATCATGTGTGGATTAACAGTGTACGCGACGCTCGACAACAATAACTTTCATGTCTAAGGAGGATTATTGTTTACCTGAGAGCTGTTCTCATCTGCAAACGCTGAAATCCGGATTCGCTTGTAATGTTAGTCTTCTCTTCATAAAGACGCGGCTCTAGTTGCTGGTGATTGTCCTGTCTCTACAGATTTGGTAAGTGAGCGACCAGTGCTCTTTGTTTATTCAGTTTGTTCGTATCGAATTAAGTTAACTATTGCACTGAGTGCAAACATAGCACCGCATTTTGTGACCGGAATAACACATGCGGCTTTCTGACGCTACCTGCCGTGTATCTAAGTTTCCGGAAAATGCAGAGTTTTTTTTTCTCTCATTCGCCGTGCGGTATCAAACATTGCATGAAAAAATACACGCTTAGAGCAGATCCTCGAATCAAATATCGCGTTTGTCGCGAGGGGCATGAATGAATTCCCTGAATGAAAGAGCCAAACTGCAGTTAAAATCCACCATTTAATAATTTGGCAAATAATTCGACTACAGATGTCCATGTAGGTTAAACACCATCACTTTCTCATGTGTGTGTATTTTGACTGAAACTCGCGCGTGCCCAAATAGACACTCCCACACCCTCCCACTTTAGTTCCTCCGACACTCCCCCCTAAACAGAGCTGGACACGCCCACTTTTCTGACTTTTTCCAAAGTAGAGGTGTGAAAACACCCTGCTGAAACGAGGGGGTTTCATGGCCCTTTAAACAGAAATTGGGGGGGAAAAAAAAAACGGGGGCTAATATTTTAGGGGGCTAATAATTCTGACTTCAACTGTGTGTAACAAAACAGCCTTATAGGGCAGTGTTCATTTCAGTGTTGCAGGGAAGTAGATGAAAATCAGACAAAAATGCCAAGGTACAAAGTGTGAACTGTCCTATGCTGTCGTAGTATTGGTCATTGTTTGGTAATGTTAATAAATAAATCCTTCATCTAAAAACTGTATTTTTGATTAAAAACTAATTCCAGTTATTAATAGATTATAACTAATGATTAAGAAATAAACGCACCTACATTTTTCCTCTTTTTAGAGATGGAGTTAGTTATTAAAACTATTATGTTTAGAAATGTGTTGAGGAAAAAAAACTTCTGTCCATTAAATATAACTCAGGGAAAGAAATATAAAAGAACTGAAATTTACACAGTGGTACAGAAAGTATTTTGACCCCTTAAATGTTTCACTCTTTGTTGTATTCCAGCCATTTCCTAAAATCATTTAAGTAAAAAAACAATTTCTCAATAATGTACACACAGCAACCCATATTGACAGAAAAACACAGAATTTGTGACATTTTTGCAGATTTTGCAGCTTGAATATCACATGCTTCCAGGTATTCAGACCCTTTGCTCTGTATTTAGTAGAAGCGTCCTTTTGATCTTATACAGCCCTGAGTCTTTTTGGAAAAGATGCACCAAGATTTTCACACCTGGTTTTGGGGATTCTCTGCCATTTCGTCTTGCAGAACCTCTCAAGTTTTGTCAGGTTGGATGGTAAGCATGGGTGGACAGCCTTTTATAGTTCTCTCTAGAGATGCTCAATTAGGTTTACATCAGGGCTTTGGTTGGGCCATTTAAGAATAGTCACAAAGTCGTTGTGAAGCCACTACTTTGTTATTTTAGCTGTGTGCTTAGGGTCATTGTCTTGTTGGAAGGTAAACCCTCTGCCTAATCTGAGGTCCTGAGCACTCTAGAGAAGCTTTTCATCAAGAATATCCCTGTACCTAGTTTTTTTTGTAATTTGTAATATAAACGCAGCTGCTGTTTTTCCTCTGTGCAGAGTTAGAGTCCCACATGGACCAGCCGTGCTGTCGGTCGCTCTACGACTTCGAGCCGGAGAATGAGGGCGAGCTAGGCTTCAAAGAGGGGGACATCATCATCCTCACCAACCAGATCGACGAGAACTGGTACGAAGGCATGATCAACGGCGAGTCGGGCTTCTTCCCCATCAACTACGTGGACGTGCTGGTGCCGCTGCCACAGTGAACCAAACATCCACTTCACCCAGCATCCTCTGCTGCATTCTCACCGATGAAAGCCTTGCGTTTCACCACAGACAGTGTTCAGCCGTTAACCTTCAGTATTTATTGATCTCATTTCCTTCAAGGTGCCACATACAGGTTCGTACACTGTACTGCGTCAGTATTTTTGCTTCGTTTATTTCGGTAAAATAAGATCTAAACATCTTTAAAATGGAATGCATTTATTAGATGATGCTAATGCATGCTATTTGAAGTACAACGGAGAAAATAAGTATTGAACACGCCATGTTTTTCCTGTAAATAATGTTTCTGTTGACATGGAATTGAACCAGATTTTGGTAAAAACCCAAACAAAATACACATAAAAAAATAAAACAAAACAAAAAATCTGAAAAATTATGTATGTGTTATAACAATGGAATGACACAAGGAGAAAGTACTGAACCACTGAAATGTGTTTAATATTTTATATAATTGCTCAGGTGCTTTTCACAAACTTCAACACAGTGTAAAAATCTTGATGGTCCTGTGGGTCTCCTCCAGTGATGGAAAGAGTACCTAAAAAATCATACTTAAGTAAAAGTACCATCACTTGCCTAAAAATGTAGTGCAAGTAGAGTAAAAGTGTTATAAATATTACTCAAACTATGAGTAAAATGTATACATTTCAAAAGTACTCAAGTACTCAAGAGTAGGTGTGTAAAGTACTCAAGAGTAGGTGTGTATTATGCTATATATAATATATATATATAATATAATTTGTACATGTGTGTGTAAATGTAACATTCTGTAGTGCATCGAGTTATTGCCCAGCACACACACAATGTCATAAGATGTTAGATTTAGGTTGTGATGTCAGGTGACCAAAATTCAGTGTGTAGCCAGCTCCTAAGGATAACGTTATTTTGATGTACAATAATGACATCAAATGATTTTGATATTTGGTTGATTTTAGGTTGATAGAAAGTGACCAAAATCCAATGTTGAGTCAACGTCTTAAACCAACATCATACTCCCATCAAATACTGAGATTTATCAGGTGTGGCAACCAAAATCCAATGTCCCATAGACATCATAGTGGTAACGTCCACACAACGTTAAGCTGTAACATTATTAGACGTTGATATTTGGTTGGTTTTAGGTTGGATGTTGGACATTGACATTGGCCTGATGTTGAGTTCTGACATCAACCTGATTTTCATTTCCAAATAAAATGCAACATCCCCATGACGTTAGGGTACAACGTTTATTTGACGTCATGTTGACGTTTTGTGCCTGCTGGCTGTTTAAGGCCATTTCAGTCATTATACAGTAACCATCCGCCATCTTCTCATCAGTGACATGCATTTAAACAGTCTCTGGGTCAATGCGTGTAAAGATTTTGGACATCTTCTTGCACACTTTTAATGCTTCCAAACAGTTTGCTGCAATTAAAAAGCGCACGTCTTGAGGTCGTTTAATATGATGTGATTTACCTTCTATGTTTGATTTGATTGGGCAGGAATCACAGGACTGATTTTTCTACTCCCTATAGACAAAAAAAAAATAAACGGATACTACGTCCATGTTTTTTTTACAGTCTATGGTCATTTCATTTTATTACACATAACTTAATTTGTAAACTAATTAAATTGGTTTTCTTTGCTTATATGGATTTCTTTGGTTGTTACCAACATCTGGTGAACATTTCAAATCAACTGCACCTTTAGAAATATGTTTTTGGTGAAAAATAGTGACGTGTTCAGTACTTCATTTCCCCACTGTATGTGCACTGATGCAGAATCTTTATTTCTCTTTACATCATCCACCATTAATCAGCAAAATAAGGTTTCGGTTCCTCAAGTAAAGTCATTTGTTTTAAGGATGTTTAGCCGCTATTTTAACGAAACACGACACTTAGAATACTGGTTACGAACGTGTGTTTTTGGCAACACAGGCTTATTGTGGATACATACACCTGTCTACATTTTTGGAGAGCGAATTATATAGCCGGAGATCCGTCTGCCTGCATTTAATCTTAATAATGAACGATACGGGGCAATATGATGCCGCTGAGGGTTTCTGCTCCTTTTTGCGCTACCAGCTGACCTCTTGCCTCCATGTGGACGGCTTTTCACATGTTACTAGTTTGCCTGGTAGCTTGCTGCATATGTCGGCAGACTTGGGACATGTAGCAGAGTTAGCATAAGTAAGCAGGTAAGACAAGAGCACAAATTAAAAAATTAATAAATAAATAAACAACCGGCTGAAAACATGGTGAAATCACGCGACCATGACGGCTTTTGAAAACACTATTGGTTGGGTTTAGGGAAGGGGGTGGGTGGGGGCAGTCAGTCGACAGCAAGCTAGCCTGGTCGGCTAAAGTGTATGTTGCGCCCTCTACTCAAGAAGAGAATACGTGAGATCAATTTGAGATCATTATGGTATTTGTATCTGCCTCTGGTAGATTTGCAAAAACAAAAACTGCAAGCAAACATACCCCCAGTCATATATTTCACTGTCCCCAGAAATGTAGACCTGGGTACATATCCGCAATGAGCCTGGGCTGGTTTTTGCCAGTGTCATGTCAAAGCGCAATTTATTTCAGCTTCAGCACAGCATTCATTCATTTTGAAAATGTGATGCATCCAATGGGGTGGAATTTTACCTTCTCAGTCTCCTTTGTATTTTAGTTCCTTCGTTTATTTAGCTCTGATATGGGCTTTTACCTGCCTGCGGTGGTCTTATGTGTTCTTTGAAACACAATTTTTCTATAAACTGTGACTGCAACTCTTATGAATGTCCTCTTTATCTCTCTCCGTCTCCGTTTACACACTTACTGTGACTTTAGGCATCATAGTAAGTACTGCGGGTGTATTATGCTCTCTTTCTCTCTTGCGCCTTCAAGTGCTTTTTTTGAATGGTGACCGTATTGCACTAAAGCTTTAGAATAACACACCCATTGATGTGCACATTTTATTTTTGTGTTGTTTTTTTTTATTATTTAGGACATTGCACTTTCTACTGTATCTCTTTCTGCCATGCCGAGAAATACAAAAATTTATCAGTCTTATCTTATGGAACAAAATATATATATATATACAGTATATAAATATATATATTGATATGATTCACAACTTCGTACTGTACGTAACGAGGATTTTTTTGCTCGTCTATGTGGTTCGTTTGATCTCTGTCGTACTTTGAATGATGTTTTTACATTTGTGTTTGTTAATGACTTGTTTTTTTTTCTGTAGTCCGTAAGTGTCTGGACCGACTGACAAAATTTGTGTCTGTTTGTCCACCAAAATTAGACTATTCGGGTAATGTTGAATGTTTTTTTTGTTACTCTGAGCAGTGTTTCTTGCGCATGATCTTCTGAATGACTGTTTTTTGGTTTCTGCCATTGACCACAAGGTTTTAATCTTTTTCTATTTTTGAATAGTCTGTTTTTATTTCTGGCCAAATAATGCAGTCAGAGAGCAAGAAGGGACTAAAAGAAAAAGCTGTTTTTATATAAATCCTGCTTACAGTTGTGAAGTCCAGTGCTATTAACAGCTCTAAACTGAGTTGCCAGAAGTACTACATTTATGCTTTTTTGAAAGAACATATTAGTGATTAATTTTTCACCATGCAGGATTAGTTTCAAGGCAAAGTTTAATACTAATCTTTTTTTTTTCTTCAATTGTATATGAGTTTCATCAATTTTATCAAGACATTTTATTAAGACATTACCAAATTATTTTAGCTAGCTTTAAAAAAGTTAGATATGTAAAAAAAAAAAATAAAAATAAAAATAACACATCCAATCTATTTAGTTAACAGAGAAATAATTAATCATGCATTTAGTAAGTTCCAGTTTTTACGTTTTTAACTTCCATATATATATATATATATATATATATATATATATATATATATATATATATATATATATATACAGTTGAAGTCAGAATTATTAGCCCCCCTGAACTATTAGAACTTAATTTTTTTTGCCGATTTCTGTTTAACAGAAAGAAGATTTTTTTTAACATGAGTCTAAACATAATAGTTTTATTTACTCATTTTTAATAACTCATTTATTTTATCTTCACCATGATGACAGTAAATAATATTAGACTAGATTTTTTCAAGACACTTCTATACAGCTTAAAGTGTCATTTAAAGACTTGACTGGGTTAATTAGGTTGACTAGGCAGGTTAGGGTAATTAGGCAAGTTACTGTAATAATCTTCTCTTCCCTATCTATAAAACTTTTCTCCGTTAAACAGAAACTGGGGTAAATTCAACAAGCGCTCTAATAATTCAGGGGGCTAATAATTCTGACTTCAACTGTATATATACAGTACTGATAAATAAGAGACCTCTTTCAAAAACATCATCGACCCCAAATTCGAAATGGTGTAGTATAAAATAGTCAAAATATCAGGGGTGTAACGGATCACTGTTAATCCGTGATTCATACAGATCACAACCCACGGTTCGGAACACACGTGACCCGAGGATTAGTCCTTTTTTTTTTTTTTGACTTGTAGAATAATCCTAATTTTTCTTACTTGTAGATTCATCCTAAATTTGTAACTATCATAGAGAACGCATTTCACGCAATTCAAATCACATGTATGAAAGCATTTAGCCTTTTTGTGGTGGGTTATTCGGGATGTGGTGGGTTTCTTAAGTTATTAAAGGTGTTTCCTGTCCCTACTTGTTTAGCCTGCATTAATGCATTCAGTTTAAGCTGCACAATTAATCATTAAAGGATCGGGATCTCAACAACCACACGACATAAATTTGTTTTATTAGTATTTATTAATCTGTAAATAATAATTAAATCTGAAAATGCAAAAATCAAGAAAGAGATTCAGTCTTTAGACTTTTGAGTTAGTTATGAAGTTACAAACAGTGAAATAACACAGAAGTACTGAGAAAACAGTTTATAGTTTAGATCAAACCACTGATGTTTATGGCACATCAAAAATAAGCCACTGAAAAAATCTTCAAAAATGATCCATCTAGCAAGGAAACATGAATTTTCTTGAATGAATAACTGAATTATTTATTGAAAA